CCCTCCTCCCCTGACCCCAGGACTCTGCCTCACGACCTCTCACCATGAATGTATAACAGCCCCGAGCGCACACACACGCACACACACACACACACACCCTGACAAGGCCACACGGACACACACGTTTGCCTGACTGCCACACCTTTCACTGCGAGCTCGTTCTTGCCACGTAGATGCATTATCGTTACGACCACGTGATCAATACTCCTACTCGATGTCTCGATATACGACCACCTACTTATGCAGCCGCGAGGCACAACGTTTGGTTCCGACTTTGCAATTAGCATCGATACATGCTGTCATTTGCTCCGGTTGGATGAGCTAATACACTCTGCCAAGCTTTCACGCCGTCGGGCACGCCGAAGATCGACTGGCTTTTACTTCCATCCAGGGAGACAGTTAGCACGACATGCTGCTCACTTGTTACTAACGGAAACAAACTTTTTTTTTGTACTCAAATGTAAACGAAGTCTTGAATTCGGTGGCTGACATGATGCCTTAAGGTTGCAAATGGTCATTTGCATCAATGCCGACGACGACCTCGGCTCACAGAAATGAGTGACTATTATTGTCGCCCCCTAAATTGCTTCAAATAATATGAGATGTCAAGATTTCATGAAGATTGTAGTGTGGACGTCTACTTCAGCCGACACCTTTTTGATACCCCTTTTCCACCCAAAATGAAAAACTTGGCGCTGGGTCAGCGCCAGGGCCTAGTTGGTGCTGAATAAGTATGTGACTGCTCACGTCGACGTTCACCCACGAGCGCCTGCGCTATGAATAATTGGAGATCGTGCACCATCTGGGCACATCTGCCATCGCGCTTTCCGCTGGGACAACAATTGTGCTGGAGATCACCCCTCAACCGTTTGCGCGAACCTTCCGTGTGTCCAGAGTGTCGTTCCTCTACATCTGCGATCGTCATAATAAGAAACAAAAAAGACGGCTGCCGACTAAGGCGCCGTCTTGAAGTCGTTAAGGATAAGGATGCAAGTACAGAACATGAAATCAAGTCAAATAAATAGCTAAATACCTCAACAAATCTTTTGTGTTCGTGGCCCTCCATTGCTGTTGCAGCTTCAAATCAGTTTGCAGGTTAGTTGTTGCCAATAGATTCAAAGTTCACCAAGAGCCCAGTCTTTCTTTCATTCTCTCCGTACTGCCCATCATTGAAAACGGCACGCACGGAGTCACGTTTATTCGGGAAATGACATATTTGAGCAGCCCAGAATACACAAAATATCCCACGGGAGTAAATTCAACTGCCTGGAATCGTGACCAAAACAACCAAAGCCTTTTCCCCGCCGCAGGAATAACCCGTGTTTACCATGACAGCGAAAGCAGACACGTTTACAGCTTGGACAGTTCTCATCCCACCGCGGCTCTGACATCACACAACTTTGAAAGCATGCCTTTCCTGTTTCACATGATAACGCATGTTGTTGTTCTTGGATGTCATTCGGTCAGAGAGTGCGTGTTTATCGTTGCTCCGGGTCTCTCCGGGGGTGTTCGCATTCCCCCATCCGCTCGCTCCTTACCTACCATCCCCCGGGGGACAACATCAACGCACAGTCAGTACACAAACACTCTCTTGACAGCCATGTACAGCCGGACCCCTTTAACTTATTCATCTTTTTTTTGATTCGCTCTCTCTATTTTATTTATTTATTTATCTATTTATTTATTTATTGAGGGGAATGTTCTCCTGTGATGAATACGAGCACTTTCCTTTTTTAATTTCTGTTGTCTCCACCTCCCTAGCTCCAATTTGAAAACAAACAAACAAACCCCCAAAAACATCATCATGATCCTAACTACTGCCTCAGACACAATTTCCTGATAAGATAATAATCATTTTTAAAAATCGGCATGAGCTTTGAACATTATCATTGACCTCAACACTGACCCCGGTGTGGGTGTACGCAGGTTAAATGTGCATATACATTCGATGTGGTTGCATGATGCAGCTAAGCTGAACAAATCGACGCAACGCAAAAAACTGCACACGCCGCTCGGCGTGATGAAGGAGAAGGACAAGGACGACATGGGAAGCTTACATCGTCTCAGTACTGTAATGACTCTCATTATAATGGCTCTTTCTCGAGGACCCAGTTCCCTAAAGGGTGTTCTGTAATTGGGTGACTTTTGCACAACCAACTCATTGCAAATATTTAATTGAAAGTAGTCCACCATGTGCTCATTGATACGTTTTTGCCAACTTATCAAACACCTACTGTCTTGTAAAAATGAAATAAAATAAAATTCTTGTACAACATGCAAAACAGGAACATTTTTCCAAAAAGATACTGGTCACGTTTATTAAAATGTGTGACTAAAATAAAAGCAAATGGGGGGGAAAAAAAAAATTGGTATCTACTTATTAAACTGTGTGGCTAAAATAAAGTTCTGCACCTCAAAATGTTGGTTCACTAGGAGGTCATAACAGAGGAAAATAGGAGAAGAATATGATTGGTTTTTAATTGAACGTTTTTGTTTGTTTAGTTACTTGTGGATTCTAGCGCAAGAATTTGATGTAACGTGTGACAACCCCCCCCCTACTGCATGAAGTGGCTTCTACGGTAGAACACCTTGGCGCTACATTGTGTAGCTTTTCCATTGACCCGAGTGAAATTGCATATTTCGTCTCTTATCCAACAAGAGAATTGCACAAAGGTGTACACGGCCACTGGAAAAGCAACAAATGCTGAGATGCACTTCACCTGCCCCGCGTTAGAAGTCTTCTCAATGACTACTGTAACTTATTTTTTGTTTCTTTTCATATATTCACAAATCTGTGTGTGTGTGTGTGTTTATATATACGTTACTTATTGTAATGGCAGTAGAAACTTTTTTTGTCCAACTAGCTAGTCACCTATTCTTTGTGAGAGTGTTCGGAGTTCCGATTATGCATCAGATTAAGCCCAAGTGTAAGGATGACAAGCAATAAATTCAAGATCATTTTTTATTGAATTTTTTGCAGAAACATTTATCCGATTGAATAAAGTAGAAGATTTTGAGAGAGCTTTGTTGTTGTTTATTGTGTGTTGAAAAAGTGCAATCTCTCAAATGGATTCATATTATGGTAAGTGTGAGAATAGATTGATCAGAAGAAAAGAAATGAATTTGTCGATGATTCAATTCTGGAAGCGCTGGAGGGAACATGGAGAGTAGGGTGCCACTTTGCTTGCAACCGGCCAAAGCGCTGTTGATTGAAAGAAGAACTGGAGACGGGGCGGGGGGAGGGGGGGGGGGGGCAAGCGTGGGTGCCAACCGATGGCAAACTAGCTTCTGCAAACACACCTAATGACAATTTGGAGTCTTGAAAAAATGCCAACATGAAGATTTAAACGTGGGAGGAAGCCTGGCTACCCGAAGAAAATCCACAAAAACGCCCTTGACCCCAACTGGTGCTGAAAACAAAGACAAAGACAGAGCAGAACGTGACAGGGGCTTTGCAAATAGTCTCTCATTTTGGATTCGATGCCTTGAACGCATTGCAGAAAAGCCGGGACTTGAAGCAACCAAAGACTCCTTAAATTGAGAACTACTCAATCGATACCTTTGAGGAAACGGTGGCGCATCATGATTGAGTTGAAATCATTTATTTGAGTTTGCTAGGTGGAGTTGCGCTGAGGCGCAGCTGACTGGAGCTGGGCTGGCTTTGCTTTTTATGGGTCAGCTCCCTTCAATCCCCTCGCCTCTCTGCTGCTCGACGCCAACTAATGCTCTCAATCCCAGCTCACCCTCATGCTGCTAAATCCACACCCGCTTTGTCCCTTTCCTACTGAAAACCTTCCACCGACACACACACACTCGCTGTCTCTTCACTGTCTGACTCGAGTCGGGTTCTAATGCGCTGGTCAATGGGCCCCCTAACTCCCATTTGATGCTCAGATTACACTCCGGCACTCCCAAACACGCATGCCGGTGGATCCGTTCATGCACGTGCACGTCCCAACACACATTCGTCAGCCCGGAGTGTTTGTGTGTTTACGCACAAACGCCTGACCATTTCTGCTTGGATTAAGATGAACATCATTTCCAGTCCAAATTGTGGCACGCTTCATTTCACACACACTGGAAGCAGTCGCTCATGAATACAGCTGCGAGGACTGATCTCTTTTGCTCTCTCTGTCATCAACGCTCTCACACGCGGGGTCACCTGCTCTTTGATCAATTCTTTCTTGGGTCATCCCTCCCTCATCAAATACATTTTGTGAAGACTTTGAGAAACAGGCGCGATGGCGTGTCCCAAGAATTTCAGGACCGGTGTCACAAACCCGAATTACAAACGATGTGCTTACTGCAGCCCGTGAACCTTTTTTTTTTGTTTCCCGCCCGCTTTTTCGAAATGTATCCCCTGTCAGCAATGGGCAGATTGAAACTCAAGAAAATTCAAGAAACTCAAATGTCTTTAGATGTCTGCGCTCGCGCCGGCCGGGCTGCTGTCAGAACTTTCCGTGGAACAGTAAATCTTCACTTCCTTTTATTATTATTATTATTTTTTTTTAGTCCTTGAAACGTATTTGGCTTTTGCTCTCATCGTGACGGTATCAATCAATCTCATTTCGTGTATAATTTTAGTCCACACTGAAGCCAATTTTGTCAGTTGGAAGACTGACAAATGAGGAGACCTTGGAGCTTGCGTGTGACCTCTGCTTCACTTCTCAAAAAAACGTGTTTTGCAACAGACTCAAGGTAAGAGCAGGCAGACGGAGACCGAAGGACGGTCGGTCGGAAACCTTGTCAGACATGACGAGGGAAGATCAGAAACCAACTAGATGGGAACCTGGTGGTCAATCTGGAGAGTCTGACGTGACGTGAAGAGAATCTGGCAAAGCTGAAGTGGAGCCCACTTACGTGATGAGTGGATAACAAGCCTCACCTGATCAATGCAGGTTTCTTGAGGATGGCAGTGGAAAATTCCACCACAGCGTGAGAGCAGGCAGGAAGGATTGGGACAGGAATTGTTCAAAGACCTGACAGAACAGCATCTACTCATACTAAAAGAAGTATTTATTGCCCACAGGTCCCCCACACACACACAAAAGATTAAAGTGACCAAAAAAAGATCTGAGAAAAGTGTTGTGAAGAAATCTGCCAAATTCGAATGAATTAAAAAAAAAAAAAGGATAAAAAGAGACCTTTGAACTTTCAGACACTGTGGGCGTGTTCATAAATCAAGTACACGTCTGATCAAAGGCTGCGCTCTCCCACCTTCTTCCAAGCGGCGACTGAGATGCTGTGATTGCTGAGACAGACGTCACGTGAGTCCACCATGACACACTCGCAAGCGACTCTCATCAAACTAGCGACAGTCCCGTACTGACAATTGATGAATGAAGGCACACAATTTAGAGTACTTCAATCAGTGCCCTTTTCGCGTCGTTTTGTCAATATGCCATTGTGGGCTGAGCATCGTGGATTATCTCAGTGAAGTGAAACAAACGGTATTGCAGAATTGCTGCGTAACCAAAATAATCGCTCCTCTGTGTTACCTTCTTCAAAAAAACGGCCAGAAAAGTGCATCCCTTTCTAAAGTACTTCTCCTGCACGGTAGTTTGGACAGCCTAACATGGCTGCGGAAGGACCACAAAGTGGAAGCCCATGGCTGTATATGGAGAGAGGATTAAAAGAGACGCTTCTTTGAGACTTACGCACTGAGCCATAGTCGGTGACCCCTGCTTTCGAGGTGGTCTGTAGCCTCGCTCCTTTTCCTTATAAGGAAATATACAGCTCCCACCATCAATTCTTGATTTATCTGACATTTAATGCCCAGCTCTGGTTTGTGAAAGCGTGCGATATGGTTTCCGAGAGTACTCCTTGAACCCATCTGTCCTTCCTTTTCTGCTGCCTTCGCCTCCTCTCCGGACTCCCTGTGTCAGGAGATTCGGGTCACTTGCGGGACAAACTTCATTTCCGTCGATGAGGACGGAATAAGAGCTTGACACACACGTTAGGTACCGGCACGCTCAACCAGGCTCACCTAAACGTGCAAGTAGAACAAGCTGAGACGTGTTAGCGGAGCTCATTAGCGTGGTCTCTCTCTCTTTCTCTCTCATGTGCCTCGATGTGCATAGTGTAGGTTATGGTGTGTGGCCCAGTTCTGGCTGAATAAGGGAGAATGCTGTGGACTGGATGAAAAGGCAGGGGTTAGAGAGGACAGATATAGATAGAAATAAGAAAAAGCATTGGGAGGGAGGGACATCAACGCCGGGGTTGCTCACCACTAAAGCCCAGCAGACCCATGACAGTTCCGTGCGCCTCCGTGTGTGTGTGTGTGTGTGTGTGTGCGTGTGTGTGTGTGTGTGTGTGTGTGAGCGTGTGCGCACGTCTTCCGTCATTTCTGTGTTTTCTTTCTCTGTGGTGTCATTACCTTCTGTCGTCCTCTCGGGGGAGTCCGTGTTTACCCAGCGTGGCCTTTGAGCTGTCACTGCAGGAGTCGTGTGTTCCTCGTTGCCATGGCAACCAACAGATGCAATGACTCATCTGCTCGGCATACGAATCGGATCAGTGGCACGCAAACTTTGAATCCTAATATTTGTCACATCTTCTGTTGTCGAGTACTTTTCTAACTTAGGTACTCGACCGCTCTACCGCTGAGCCATGCCACCGTTGTGATCTTATCTATTTCATTGGAAATCGCCGTATGACTTTGCTTTGCTATTTGGATGAAACCATGTCGCAGACGTGTTATCTGGACACCTGCGACCTTAGGTCGGCAATAACAACTCTTGCGACTTTATCTTTCGGGGTCGAAACGACACAGTCAAGTGCCAGACAGTGCATGACACAGTCCTGTGAACATCAAGGGGAAATTTCAGGGTGAATTGGGGTTATGCTTTCTGAGGAGTCGCAAGCTTGAATGCCTTTGCTCAAGAGTGTGCAAGAAACCGATTTCCTGACCCATTTTCCAAAAGAATATCTCATAGATTCATCGAAGACCACAATTGCCTGTCGGTTAACATGTGGGATATATCTCGGCCCTCCTTGCACTGACGAGCATGAACATCCAAGACATTTGATGGGAGGTTGGATGAAGGGGAACGAGCAATGTCAGGAAGATACGCAGGAGCTTCCATGGTTCGCAGAGTGTGTCACGCCCACACAGAACTCCAATATATGTTGCCCTCAGTAACAGCGTCACTCAGCTCAGAATATTTATTCAGTGTGTAGTGCCTGGTAAGTTAGGCTTATTTGATTTAGAATTGGCCGCAACGTGGCTGTTTTCAAGGGAAAAGCAGTGCCTTACAACTCATGCTTGCTTTTCAGATCAGGAGGTCTTTGTGAGGACAAAAGCCATCCCGACTCAGGACGCACATGCACACATGCAACCATTTTAAGTAGGTCTGTTTGGAGCCATATGCCCATGACTGCAGCATGCCTCAATAAAATATGATGTTTCTGTGTTAATCTTTAATAGTTCTGTCCTTCAGAATTAACCCAGATGAACACACATTCAGGGCATCGTGCACAATCTCTTTGTCTTCGACTTCCCCTTCAGTCATTGTTTTCTCTCTCTGTCTTCTTTAATCCCATTTCGATCCAAATACAGTAATCTTTTTCGTCGTCTGTCTTTTTTTTCCCCCCACAGATTTTCCTGCATGCTCTTTTTACCCTTTGCTTTCTTCAACATCTTCTTGTTTTGACTACTTAAAAAACATCTAGTAGGTGAATGATCGATGCATAAATGAAAGCGATTGACAATGAAGCGCAATCCAGTGAGTGAATTCAAATCTAGGAGGAGCACAACAGAGAATGGCGATGATTGGGAGGCACTGCCAAATCAGGCATTTGACCAACGGATCAGCTCACAAGTTTCTAAAACAGTCATGTTGGAGATTTTGCAGAAGGTTTGATTGATGACATCAGCCAGAACAATGTGTGCATACATTGGGAATGTCTCCATTGTGAAATAAATAACGGTTTTCTTATACATTAACTGTGGGGACATTAAAAATGAAAATCGACTGACATTTATTCCTGCTGAACTGATTGTTTTGAATGTAATATGTCCAATGTACAATTTACTCACTAAGATGTGTCACATCAAGTCTCACACAGAAACATGTAGGTTATGTCTAATAACAGTCTTTAGTGTGATTGTCAGTGGCAATGGTTGTTCGTCGGATATGTTTTCTTGCGATTGGTTGGCAAACAGCTCCTGCACGCCCACAACCCTCGTGGGGACCAAGCGGTTGAGATAATCGATGGATTTTAAACTGTCATTTGCTTACAGTCCTCCCAAATTAGACGAATCAGCAGCAGCCAGCAGCCAATCTGAAAATTGTTCAACACCGCTATCTGGTGGGGATAAAAGGAAATGCATCAACACGGAACGCGTAGTGCAGTGTCTTTCAAGCATTTTTAATTTACAATACAGTACAGTATAGTATTGATTGGACGCAGCCATGTCACGTGATCACCGTGACGTAGGACAAAAGTTAACGACTGCCGAATTGTGGACGGAAACGGGGTGAATTAGCGATTGTATGTTATTTTTGCCTATCTAGCCATGACATCCACCACTTCAACTGCTGTCTGTTGTGTTCGATGTTTTAATCAAATCACCGGCTTGGCCGGAAATCACAGCGCACGACTTTTACTGAAAAGTTAAATCAATTTTCCCCAAGTCATTTTACATTTTACTTGAGTGCGAGTACATTTGCTATCTCTGTGATTTATATTATTCAAAAAGACTCATACACCCCTAAAATAAAACGAGGGCGAAACGAGTGGTGCCGCCCAAGTCGCGCAGCGCTGAACGAGATCTCGCACTTTCAACCGGGTTCTGCTGCTGACCGCACCACCCAACTTGTCACCAAAGATGGCGATTTGCTGAGTGCTCATGGATACACACATTTTACGGCTAGCCGTGATCCTACCAGAAACGTCAACTGTAAAAACACACTAACCGCTCAACGAGCCGATACTTAGTCGTTGGAAGAACACCGGGAGCACCGTTGGCCACCGCCACCATGCAAATCACACTAAAAACACTGCAACAGCAGACCATTCAAATTGAGATAGATCCCGAACAAACGGTGAGTAGCCTCGCAGCTAACTTGCTAACTTTAGCTACACTATCCGCGTGCGAAACGACCGTTTGAGCGCGCGTTAACCCCGACGTGCGTCTCTTTGACCTGATTGTCACGTGTGGAAAGTTATGATTCGCAGATATCGGCGGCGCGTTTCGGTCTCGGTATCCCACATGCTGTTACGGGGTGGGAACAACGCGAAACCCCACTTGTTAGCTCGAGCTAACTAGCTAGCCGAAAAGCCAGTAAAAAAAAGTCTGCCCAAGGTGAAGGCTGGCGTTTTGAGCACGTGATGACCAAAAAACGTCGGTTATTTACGGTCCTACGTTTATGTTTGTTGTGCTAAATATGGTGAAATAGTTGGACAAAGTGCATGTATACAACGTGATTGCTAACGCTAATGACACTGCTAATTGCTGTTGGCCGTTCTGGTCTCGCAACATCACGAAGTAACTGGCTACATTTGTTAGCATGGTCACAGCCCGAATATGCACCCTGACAGGCCAACGCCAACAACTCGGGGAGGCACTTTACCACCAGCACGTTACATCCCCTGCGTCTGGGGGATAGCCTTACTATCACGTCTACATCAGATTCTCTGGCATATCATGATTGATTATGTTTCATAGTTGGTGGTCCTGCTGACAAAGTTTGGCCTGATGTGACATAGGCAGGGCTCAAATTTCACACATGGTTGTGCTTTGGATCAGAAGGTTTGAGAAAAAAAAAAAAGGATGAGTGCTTGCATGCCATGTCTTATGTAGTCTGTTTTTGCCTTTTTGAAAATAGGTGAAGGCCTTAAAAGAGAAGATAGAAGCAGAAAGAGGAAAAGACAATTTTCCTGTATCTGGACAGAAGCTGATATATGCTGGAAAAATTCTTCAAGATGACACGCAAATTAAGGAGTATAAAATTGATGAGAAGAATTTTGTTGTAGTCATGGTGTCCAAGGTGAGCTCATTTCACATGAGGTCAGTGGACTTCATTCGGGTACATCTGCAATATCTGAGGAGAACTAATACAAGAGCCGTATCAAAATGTTTTCACACTTTCTCAATGTAATAACCACATTGCCAGGGTACAAGTATAACATTTGCCTGGTAAAATGAATTTGTGTGTGTAATCGAAAACAAAATTTCATCTGTAGCTCATCTTATACTGAGCTCCCAAATTTTCTGTGCCGCAGTTATTTTTACGCACTATCTCCATCTGTTTTGAATTCTACACTCTCGAGGGCCCAGTGCAATTCTACTCTTCTGCATACTGCGACTGCACTAATAAAGCTACAGTAAAACTAATATCTCCACTGATAGTGCTAATCAAAAAAGAGCTTTGTTGTATTTGTTCAGGATTTTTTTTGATACTGTTCTTGTATTTGATGCAGGTATACCTAGAATTGAGTTCACACGTGCATAAAATTAATACCGTACCATTTGCTACAGTGTGTAACTTAATTGAATGTCCTAATCTCACAGCAAACTTTTTTTTTTCCCGCCAACCCAATCATAGGCTAAGACAGCAGCTGCTGCCGCAGCACCTCCTGCTTCCGAAGCACCGAAAACTCCTGCCCAGGATTGTGGTTCCACATCAGCAGGCCCCACTTCAACCCCAACCTCGACCCCAGCCCCAACATCCACCCCTGCAGCTGTCCTCACCCCCCCGGAGGAGGTTAAGGAAGAGCCAAGTGTTACAGCAACAGAAACCCCTCAACCAGCCAGGTACACCATGTTGTTGTCATAGTTATATATGCCCCTTTCACACTGCCCATTCAAGTTTTCCCAGCTGTTCCCTGTGTCACAGTCCTGTGTGAACAGCACTGACGTGAAATGGGGCAGTCCAAATTCACCCCATGAATTTCCCTGCTTTGTGGTATTAATAGAGGTTGGACCGCAGTTAAGAGTGTCATGTAAAGCCAGGACCGGGGTGTTAGGTTCCAAACCCGCGACTTACTTCTTCTTGAAATGAATTGTTGCTCTCCGACAATTTCCGTAGACGTCACACCCGACCGACACTGACTAGCCTATATCACAGCACATCTCATTATGTGTTTGTGGGAAGAGTGTGTGAGCGGGACACAGGGCAGAAAGAACCCGTTTCTTTCAGGTCACTCGGCACAAGCTGATGCATGATCTGACATTAAGCTTTTTAGAGTAGTGGTCCTATCGGCCCACCATGTGCCAAGTTGCGGTGGCCCTGATTTAAAACGGTACTTAACGAAATTCATAATTAGACTCTATGGAGGCCTGTGCTTGAAATGATGACGCGTGTAGTCTCAGCTGCCAAATTTTATGAACCGAACCAAGAAGTAGTCCTTGGCTTTCAAATAGGTTGGTCACCCGCCGCATTGGGGAGAAAAAAAATCTCTGTTTTGTATGAGTGAGTTTGAGAGGTTTAGTGGCTTAGAAAGAACGCGTTGATGTATGAGCCGTTGATGTCAATCGATTGAGATGATTGAGTTTTTTGGTGTAATATGGAAAAGAAAATGTCTAACTGCACTTTACACGGTTTCCCTTGAGCCACACCCCACACCACAATTCCGTCCGTCTTTGTATGTGTACATAGAGTTCACATAAATGATTTATTTATTTTTTGAAATGGAAATCAAAGTGAAGATGCAGCATATTTCATTTTTTTCTTCTTAACTTGTGTTTTGTAGTTCCAGTGGAGGGAGCCAGGGTTTGGATGCCTCTTCTGCACTGGGTAGGTCATCACTCAATCATCGCCATACTTGCCATGTATAAAGTTGGCATAGGAATTGCAGGGTCACTCCAGTTTTTGTTCTTGCTTCATTTGCCTGTGTGAAGGATCGGACCAAATACAGCAGTGATGCTACAATCAATATGTTGGCAAGCTACTGTGCATCACCATAGCTGTGTACTTAAAGAAGGCACAACCGAAAACTGTTGCTGAACATGCATCACAAGAATTGAAAGAGTTGAGGACAAAAAGACACGTTTTAGGCCAATGAAAAGCTGCCCAATACATTTTTTTTCAGAATCCGTATTTCCACAGTAATCACTGTATGTTGTGCGTGTACATTTCATGATTTAAAATGTTTAAGTGGACTTATGCCTCCGAATGCAGACACAGATGAACAGCCTGGTAAGTTCCGAGTCTCCTCTTGTTTCTTTCTGTCAGCAATAGAAAGTAAAAACCGTCTTCTCAGTGTAATGGAATGCACTTAGATTTTACACTTCCTGCATTTTAGTTCTTCAGTTTGTCCCAGTTAAACGGCCCGTGTCTGATTCTGTTTGGCGTATGACGTCTTTTTTTGTCACCATTCAGCTCAAAACATTCATTCGTTAAAGTTTTTCCGAGCCAACCAATTAGAATGAAAGAAACAAAGCAGATCTCCAGCATTTGCATTGCGAGTCGTCGGGGACATTACAGGCTGCGGAGCAATATATATATATCCTTCCTATTTTTAAAGCGAAACAAAAGCCGCCTCTATTGTGAGGTCCTAGTTAGGAACAGGGATTCCTGTTGGGCCACTCACAGATGACGCGCATGCCTTTGTCATTCTGCTATTTTTGTATGTTTACTTGTTGACATTCAGCTGTGAGAAATCGTCACGCTGGATTGAAGTGGTCAATTGACTTCTCTTCAGTCAAAAAAAAACCACGCTGCTAAAGTTGACCTTGTTTCCACTGATCGCAGATGGTAGAAGCATTTCAAGAAAATGCAAATAAAACATTCTGTAAGATTCGCCAACATTGAAAATGATCATCAGCGGTGTGTGTGTGTGTTGTGTTTTCAGTGACAGGAGCAGAGTATGAAGCAATGCTGAAAGAGATCATGTCCATGGGCTATGAGAGGGAGAGAGTGGTGGCGGCACTCCGGGCAAGCTTCAACAACCCTCACAGAGCTGTGGAGTACCTTCTCACTGTGAGTCTTACTCACGACAGCTGCGCTCATGACTCTTTATTACAACAAATAATGTCAGACCCGTTTTGCATGATGGGATGCTAAGGTAAAGGCAAACAAAGCATTCATTCATATGAATGTAGGGATTTCCCGATTCAGTCATGTGACCGGAACCCGATGCGGACCGTCTAATTCTCCAAAAAGAACTTGCGCTAACGGAAGGCGTTTCACGACAGCATGTTTGCTAATCAGCTACCAGCCTCGCCGCTAACAAAAGTAGCATCAGTTGAAATGCTACGTTTACTTTCCGATATTTCCACTTTTGTTCAAGTCACTTTTGAAATACTCGACACCACATTGTGATTTTGTGCGCCACGCCCAGTCTCTCCTCATAAGTATTGATCCGTGCCGCAGAGCCAATTGAAGGATGACGTCGGACATGCGAAACGAACAAAAATTCGGACCTGCCAGACTTGAGTCATCGTCAGGCGTGAAGCGTCCCAGATGCTTGACGAGTGTGTCGCACGGCACAACTCCAAATTGGCTACGAGACACCACGTTTGTCTGCCGACTCAAAATTGGGCTTCATTCCTGAAGTCTGACATCGGCATAATGTTAACGCTCCAAAGTTCATCGACAGTATTTGTTCGTTTTATGCTAAAAGCTACTAACAATTTCTGTGCATCGAACTGCGCCCCCACACTTTTTAGGTTTTATTTGCCTATCATTTTAAAAGCGAGGTATCACTTCCGTTCCACTTCGCAATTGTCTACCACTTTGTGTTGGGTGATTTGATTAAATATCAGCACCCCCAAAATACTGTGTATTAAATATATTAATAATATATTTGCAGGGTCTCCCGAGCAGCCCAATCCAGGACACGAATCCCCCGGCGCACACGCCTGCATCTGGACCCGCAGAAGCGCCGTCTCTAGCAGAAGGTGAAACATTTGGATGGAGAAAACACTTGGCATTGATCTGATCTAGATTTGCTCAACTAGACATTGGTAAAGCGCAGAATGGAGTGAACGTAGTTGGAGTGTTGACCCCATTCCACTACACCACCGAACGTAGCTACACAGTCTTCTTTCCGAAGACTGTGTGTTTAGGCCTCCAGTAGAGTTCCAGAGACATGGAAGTCTGACGTCGGCATAATGTTAACGCTCCAAAGTTCATCGACAGTATTTGTTCGTTTTATGCTAAAAGCTACTAACAATTTCTGTGCATCGAACTGCGCCCCCACACTTTTTAGGTTTTATTTGCCTATCATTTTAAAAGCGAGGTATCACTTCCGTTCCACTTCGCAATTGTCTGCCACTTTGTGTTGGGTGATTTGATTAAATATCAGCCCCCCCCAAAATACTGAAAAATGGATAAATGAGAACCACTTTCCAATGCGCTGCACATACCGAAATTGATTGTGTCCATTTTGCAGCAATCGAAATTGAGATGAAGAACCACTCCAGCTTTTTCCCTTTGCAATCTTTTGTTGTTTGCTTTTTGTCATGTAATCTTTTATTTGATTGCGAGCTTTGTATTTGCAGGGTCTCCCGAGCAGCCCAATCCAGGACACGAATCCCCCGGCGCACACGCCTGCATCTGGACCCGCAGAAGCGCCGTCTCTAGCAGAAGGTGAAACATTTGGATGGAGAAAACACTTGGCATTGATCTGATCTAGATTTGCTCAACTAGACATTGGTAAAGCGCAGAATGGAGTGAACGTAGTTGGAGTGTTGACCCCATTCCACTACACCACCGAACGTAGCTACACAGTCTTCTTTCCGAAGACTGTGTGTTTAGGCCTCCAGTAGAGTTCCAGAGACATGAAGGTTCGGTGACAGCCTGGAAAGGAAGCATAATCGGACTAAGCCCTCAATTTTGATAATGGGGACAAATGATTTGAAGTGAGTCTTGGCATCAGATGGAAATGATCACGCGTAACATGCGAGATGAGGCGCACTCATCAATATATTTCCTGCACTGGCCTGCGGTGGGTGGGGTGGGTATTTATCTCCCCTTTTCGGAGAATAATGTCAATCTTGTGTACGTCATCAGGGGAGAACCCCCTTGCATTCCTGCGGACTCAGCCCCAATTTCTTCACATGAGGCAGGCCATCCAGCAGAACCCAGCGATGCTTCCAGCTCTTCTGCAACAGCTTGGCAGGGAAAACCCTCAACTCTTGCAGGTAACGCACAAGCACGCGTGACGTGACACCTTACACACGTGTCCAGTCCCAACTTTTTCAAATGTTTTGATGTTGACATTATATAGTTGCTGTTTTGTTGGCAAAGTTTGCACGTCGGGCGTGCGAATAATTGTGGTACATGTGATTTTGTGTGACATGCTTATTTCTTCATGTGGGATGTTTTTCCCCCCCTCAAGAGTAAATGCACTTGAATTAAAGGTTGGATTTTCCTCTTCTTTTTTTTTTATTCCTGTAATTTTTGTTTTTGTCTCTCACCGAGAGAGTAAGAGACATTTCTTCATGCCTAGTTGTACACATGACCTCTTGGTGACTCTTCGTTTGTATCTGATTTTGTCCTCCCCGCAGCAAATCAGTCAGCACCAGGAGCTGTTCATCCAAATGTTGAACGAGCCGGTGGGCGAGGGCGGGGAGGCGCCAGAAGTTGGCGAGATCGGGGCGGCGGGTGAGGAGGGTGCGCCCGTCAACTATATCCAAGTCACACCTCAGGAGAAGGAAGCCATTGAAAGGGTGAGCGCCTGTTCGTTATGTCCATTCATGAAGGCAGAGGTGGGCATTGTGAAAACTCGTAAAAACCGACGGATGGACGGAAGTCGGGTTTCTTCCGTCACCGGAATTGTCACTAACTCGGTCCGCTTCGACGGACCTTCTTTGATTGTCACTGACGGACTGCCGTTTCACTGTTGACTGACGGAAACACACGATACGTGTCTCGCGTTGTTTGTTGGGGGTGAGTATGCGCGGAGGTTGCTTTAAGCCGACTGCGTTGACTCCAAATTGGAAACGTGACTCCCACCCCGATGGCTGCTGCTGGAGCGGGCAGGCCAGCGGGCTGACCGGGGGCTCGCCAGAGCCTTCCTCGGAGGGCATGAAAAATGAGCAAACGCAACAAATAGTGACTTGTGCGCTTAAAAGAAAGAAATGAATATAAAAAAAAAAGAATTACTTCAGCGACAAAAACAAATGAAAAATACAAAATAACCCAACCACAAAAACAAAAATCCCAAGTGAATGCAATTTAAGGCGCGTTTCCATTAGCCCCGCTCCACACACCAAGACGGCCTTGCTTGGCCCCGGATAGTCGCTTTTCCCTGAGCCTATTTCGGGGCTGGAATGATCAATATTGACTGAAAGGAAAGTTTCACAACCAGAGGTTTTTTTTTTTTTTTTTTTGTGACGGTCCTAAAATAACTTTGAGAAACTGAAATTTAGCACCGAGGAAAGCGTGATTAAAATAACGATAAGAAACGGATGATGAAGGGACTCAGCGACTGATGACATTTCTACTGAAAGCCCGACTGACAATTCCAGCTTGAAATCTTATCGATGACGGACGCTGGCGAGCGGATGAACGACGGAGCGGGCAAATTTGTTCACGTGCCCACCTCTGCATCAAGGTGGAGGCTTTTCCTAAAGGCGTCTTTCTTGCCGCCCGGCAGCTAAAAGCACTCGGCTTCCCCGAGGCGCTCGTCATCCAGGCCTACTTCGCCTGCGAGAAGAACGAGAACCTGGCCGCCAACTTCCTCCTCAACCAGGGACTGGAAGACGACTGAAGAGCCGAGACGGACGGCCGCCTTCCTGCTCCTCCGTTCCCACCCCTCCCCTCTTCAAAGACTGCACCCCCAATTTACCTGTACAGCCACCAACCTCAGCTCCACTCAGCGGGAGGGGCGAGGGGAGAGCCAGAAGGGAGTGGGGTGGGGTGGGATGGGATGGGGTCAGGTTTTGTGCAAAGGCCAGACTTAATGATTCTTTAGTTCGTGGAAGGTCGCGTGAAAGAGAGTGGACAAATCCACGTGAATTCCAATGGAATGTGTGGGCTTTGTTTAGGGGACGTCCACCATTTGATTTTAGATGCGCTTTGTGAACACTTAAAGGGGGGGGCTGAAGTTGCTGCGCTAAGTGTGTGCGAGTGCTTGTCTGTGTGCGCGTGCGTGAGTGAGCGAATAGACATCTGCGTGCCTGTGCAGATGCGATACAGATACGCTGACGTAATCGGTTTGCATTGCCTAAGTTTGTTCATGATGTAGCTGAGCACATTCGTCCCACGGTCAGCATTGTGCGCGCCACGTTTGTCTCCGACGTTTCATCACAAACAGGTTTTGCCGTGGTTTTCGGGGGGCGCGCACAGAATCAACGGACAATATTTGGTCTTCCCTCGTGTGTCACTTTTTGTTTGTCCGCACCGGCCCGGAAAGACAGCAGCCCATCGGTGAGTCAACGTCGCTCGCGCCAGCAACGCCGGCCACTTCGGGTGCACACCGGAATGATCCTGAAAAACCTTCTCTGCAATTTCGAAAATGAAATGCAAAACTTTTTTTTGCTCACGAAATACACACAAAAAAAAACAAGGCTGCTGTTTTACTGGGCGTCTTAAATTAACACTGCAAATCCATAGTAGTTGTAAATGATGAATATATATAAATATTTTTGATCCCCCCCAAATAACTTTGAGAAACTGAAATTTAGCACCGAGGAAAGCGTGATTAAAATAACGATAAGAAACGGATGATGAAGGGACTCAGCGACTGATGACATTTCTACTGAAAGCCCGACTGACAATTCCAGCTTGAAATCTTATCGATGACGGACGCTGGCGAGCGGATGAACGACGGAGCGGGCAAATTTGTTCACGTGCCCACCTCTGCATCAAGGTGGAGGCTTTTCCTAAAGGCGTCTTTCTTGCCGCCCGGCAGCTAAAAGCACTCGGCTTCCCCGAGGCGCTCGTCATCCAGGCCTACTTCGCCTGCGAGAAGAACGAGAACCTGGCCGCCAACTTCCTCCTCAACCAGGGACTGGAAGACGACTGAAGAGCCGAGACGGACGGCCGCCTTCCTGCTCCTCCGTTCCCACCCCTCCCCTCTTCAAAGACTGCACCCCCAATTTACCTGTACAGCCACCAACCTCAGCTCCACTCAGCGGGAGGGGCGAGGGGAGAGCCAGAAGGGAGTGGGGTGGGGTGGGATGGGATGGGGTCAGGTTTTGTGCAAAGGCCAGACTTAATGATTCTTTAGTTCGTGGAAGGTCGCGTGAAAGAGAGTGGACAAATCCACGTGAATTCCAATGGAATGTGTGGGCTTTGTTTAGGGGACGTCCACCATTTGATTTTAGATGCGCTTTGTGAACACTTAAAGGGGGGGGCTGAAGTTGCTGCGCTAAGTGTGTGCGAGTGCTTGTCTGTGTGCGCGTGCGTGAGTGAGCGAATAGACATCTGCGTGCCTGTGCAGATGCGATACAGATACGCTGACGTAATCGGTTTGCATTGCCTAAGTTTGTTCATGATGTAGCTGAGCACATTCGTCCCACGGTCAGCATTGTGCGCGCCACGTTTGTCTCCGACGTTTCATCACAAACAGGTTTTGCCGTGGTTTTCGGGGGGCGCGCACAGAATCAACGGACAATATTTGGTCTTCCCTCGTGTGTCACTTTTTGTTTGTCCGCACCGGCCCGGAAAGACAGCAGCCCATCGGTGAGTCAACGTCGCTCGCGCCAGCAACGCCGGCCACTTCGGGTGCACACCGGAATGATCCTGAAAAACCTTCTCTGCAATTTCGAAAATGAAATGCAAAACTTTTTTTTGCTCACGAAATACACACAAAAAAAAACAAGGCTGCTGTTTTACTGGGCGTCTTAAATTAACACTGCAAATCCATAGTAGTTGTAAATGATGAATATATATAAATATTTTTGATCCCCCCCCCCCCATCTAAATCCACGTCAATCAACAGATCTTTAGTTTGACGGGGACAGACTCGTAGACGTTTCATATCAAGCTATAAACCCATTCGAGTGAAGGCCCAGTAAGGTCTGTGACATGCAACGGTAAATGATTTCATGCTAGCCCCGATGACTCCTTTGTTGTATTGGCGTCGGCAAACATGATTCTGTCACAAATATTCCTCGCTCAAAATCGATTTACCTTAATTTCCATCTTGTATTTGGTACGTTCTCGTCCCGCTGAAGATGTGGCCAAGATAATCAGTTACGATTTGATTCATTTCACGTGGGCCCGGTTTGACTTCAGGACATTTTAATTCTGTCTCTGAATTTTGACACAACCTTGCATCTCTAAGTTGATTTTGAGGATCAGCTTTCCCGAGCCTTCATCCTCCTGTCCAGTCCAGCTGGAATTACTGTCAAATGTTGCGCCTCATGCAACCTAACTATAGCCAGGTTGTGCAATGATGATGCGCGGCGCTTTCGTTCGTTTCGTAATGTTGGAACAAATTGGGTCAGTTAAGAAGAGCAAATGTTCACTGTGTGATTCTGCGGGTGTGAGGGCAGATTGTGCTCCACTGTCTTTCCAGCGGCAACATGATCTTGGACAATGCTGTGCTACATTAAACATCAGCAGTCTTTCAGGCATTTGTGTCTGCGTGCATCATTTGGTTCAATCATTAGATTCAAGTTAACTACCCCTGTCGCAATGGGATCAATCCATTGGACAGCTAAAAATAGCGCTCACATTCGGAGAGCGCAGACCTCCACTTCGACAACTGCAAAGTGCGACAAAATAGTCAGCAACGCATTTGTGTGCCAGCAGTTGTTTGTGTGACCGACCTCACAATAAAGAGCGGTTATCGTCAAAGCACTAACTGCTGTTTGCACAAACTCAAAAATAGCGTATTTTCCGCACTATAAGGCGCACCCGAAAGCATTCAATTTTCTCAAAAGCCGACAGTGCGCCTTATAATCCGATGCACCTTATATATGCATCGATATTCTCATTTTCTTGCATAAATTGTGTGTCATCGGACTTGTTGTCGAGTTGATGTAAGTGAAGATAGTTGTCTGCTTCTTTACTGAGTAATAATGGTTATTCGTCAAAAAGACGATGCCACACAAGTTATTAGTGATGGGATTTTCGGCCTTTTTCAGTGATCCGGTTCATTTGGATCGGCTCAGTGAAAAGAGTCGGCTCTTTTTGGCTCTCAAACGGCTCTTTTAACTTAAGCTTTTCTTTGAAATATTTATGACAAATCCCTTGTTTATCGCGGATAATGGGGACCAAAACCACCCGCGATAAACGAAAATCCGTGAAGTAGAGACCAATTAACATATACAGGTTAAAAAAAAAAAAAATTAAGTCCGCAAACGGTCCGCGAGAAGCTGCAAAACAACAGCGAGTCACATAGAGCAGCATATACAGTACTGTACTCCATGTATATTTTTAAAAAAAAAAAAAAAAACATTTTTTTTTTTTTTTTTATATGTTTGAAAAAATCCGCGATGCACTGAAGCAGCAATAAACGAACCGCGAAATAGCGAGGTTGTCATGAGATGTCAGTGACATCACGCATGAGCTGGTCAAGCACATGCTCCCATCTCAGGCCTGTCGTCAGTGTTTGTGTGCGTGCAACTTGAACTGGCCCACACAAAGATTGACTGGTCAAATGCTTTTACATTGTCATCATACCTGTCAACTTTTCGGAGCGCCAACCTGTATAAACTACAAAAAAAATCCTTATAAAGAGCAAAAAATCCTTATAACATACCAAAGCATTTTATATGTCAAAATAACGGCAGAAAAACCCCCACGAAATATGAATATTTGTTTCCTTGTAGAACTTGCTTGTACACTACCGAAGTATGCAATGAATACTCTGCTGTTTTCAACTCGGAACCACGTGATTTACTGGAAAGTTACCGGAAATGAAAGCATTCGAGTAGACTAGCACCATTCTGGGCAAAAGCAAACGGAACTACCTGTTAGGGG